ATATATAAATATTTTCTCTATATCTAAATACTTCTGTTTATATAAAAAAATTTATATATCTAAATATTTTCTCAGTATCAAATATACTAATTTTTTTTTTATATAAAAAATTATCTTATGTTTCTATATTTTCGTTTTTACATGTTTTTTTTTATAATGACTGAGGTATTTGATCCATTTGGATAGTCAAGATATATTCGATCTTGTATGATTGGTGTGCTTCTAAAAATAATAATATAATTTTATTAATTTTGTCTCTTATCCATAATTATATAACTAGTTTTCAACATATATTATGGATAATAATTATTATTATTATTTAACTAGACATTATTATTATTTTTATTATTTTTGTCTTTGACTCTTTTTAAATTTGAATGTATGAAATTTTTTTGAAATCTTATCAAATGTCAAAACTCCACAAAATCTCACAGACCATTAAAATCTTGATTTAAAAGTCTTGCAGAATCCATTAAAATCCTGATTTTAAGTCTTGGAGAATCCTGCAAAATCATAAAAGTCATGAAAATCCTGCAAAGTCCTTTAAAATCCGGAGGATTTTTTTTAACTAAAAAAATCCTTTAAAATCCTAATCCAATACACCCCCTTAACCAACTTTAATAACTTTTTAAGTCTACATAAGGCGGAGGTTTTTTGCATTTAACCCATTTTATTGTTTTTTTTTCATTTTCATCCGTTCAAAATTATTTTCTTTTATTTTTACTTTTACTATTAGATTGACTGTTGACTCTAATGGAAAAATGTTAAAAAATGACAAAAAAAATGTGAGAAAATTATAGAGACCAAAGTAAAAAAGGACCACAAAAAAAACAACAAAAATTGAGAGGATCAAAATAAAAATAACTAAAATTAAAAGGATTAAAATGAAATTAACCAGGAATTAAGTATTTTTTTGAGTCAAATATATAAAATATAAATATATATATATATATATATATATATATATATATATATATAAAATCCTTATTGATAATTACTTATTATAATTATAATGGTTAAACTGTATTTAGTGTTTTGGTTCTATATTGTGCAAGGGAATACCTAAAATGTTTAATATCTAAGTCACATCCTACATTAATTGTAAGGGTACCTTAGATAATCTAAGTTTATGTGTACCTAGAATAATTCTTTATATAAAGATTTACTAAACATTAACAATATCAACAATCATAATTAACCCAAAGTTTAATAATAGCATAAACTAGTAAACACCATATTGTCCAAAAGTTTATGGCTTATATATGAACTTAATTTTAAACATAAACACTAATTCCTAATTAATGATTTTAGAAAAGTGTTTGAAGGAATCGCCATCAATATTTTACTCAAAACATAAAAAAAAAAGATTTTTTTTGAAAATTCAATTATGGCCTTCATGGCCAGAATATTTAAGCATCCTACGCACCATATATTGATACCCTATGATGAAAATAACAAGATAGACAATAAGAGTTCGAATATTTAGTCTCTTTTATTGATGGTTATTTACATGCTTAATTTAAAATTATACGACTAATCCCAAGAAGTCTACATGGTTGCTTTTATTTATAATAATGTTTTATAACAGAAATAATAAAATGGTAGAGAAAAAAATTGATGGAAATAACTCTTAAACGAGCTTTTATAAAGTGCTTCCAATATGATAGATTTGAGGTGTTTTTTGACTGCCTGATACACTATAATTCACCTTACAATTCTCAAGAAATATAAAAAATTATGGAGAAAGAGACATTTTCAGTTATCCGAAACTCTAGTAGGCTACTTTCACTTCGTTTTCTGACCGCGAGCATTGTGCACGAGGCCGTATTATACCTAAACTTACTCTATTTAATAACTCATGTTCTATATTAAATTTTAACGATCCAACTGTTGAATTTAAAGTTCTTAACGCATAGATCAAATCTACAAATTTTTTAAAAATTTGGAAATTATTTGATACTTCGTTTCATTAATTCAAATTAATGTATAAAATAATTTTATGATTATTCATCAATTTGAATTAATAAAAATGAAGTATCACATGATTTTCAAATTTTTTAAAAATTTGTAGACTTGATCTATCTATTAAGAACTTTAAATTCAACGGTAGATCGGTAAAATTTGATATAAAATATGAGTTATTGAACAGAATAAGTTTAGGTAGACTTATTTTTGGAATAAACAAATCCCTCTTTTATATATATATATATATATATATATATATATATATATATATTATAATCATTTATATATTCAGTTGATGGCCATCATAATATGAAAATATGAATTAAACTTCTACATAACCCTCTGGAATTATTGGAAAATTTGATGCAAATGTGGTAATTACTATCATGTGACATTTACACACAATAATCAAAATGAAATAAAAGGAAAAGAAAGGGAATTGTTTATTCACGTTATTATTGTTATGTGTTTTTTTTTCTGTCTTTTTCAAATTAAACTTTTGGCTCAGGGAGTAGCAATAAGGACATCTAATTCCGTGCAAAACGCCATGAATTCTTGACCTAACTCTAATAGTATATATATTTCCCTCTACTGGCCCCACCATGAGC